AGACAGGTTCAATCTACACATATGACTATAACTAAAAATACAGAATACAAAGGTGCAAGAGTTACACAGGACTACAGAAGTTCAAACTGTTAACATGACATCCAAGTGTAAGTATACAGGAGACACTTGGAAATATGTGTCCAGAGATCAGGCTAGGTTGAGACTGAATATAAAATATTTGGGTGTCATCTTCATAAAGGTGAGAGTTGAAGCCCCACACAAGTGAGCAGATAAGTCAACCAAACATCAACAAAATAGAAAAAGAGAGGATTAATGAAGTGAATATGCATTTTTTTTAAAATAGAAAGACAACAAACAAGCAAACCTAAAATAAGCACAAAAGAGGAGACATTTAAAAATAGAGGAAAGACTGGTAAATTGAAAATAAAAAACTCACAGAAATAATACATAAAAACTAAAAGCTGGGGGCAGCTAGGTGGCGCAGTGTATAGAGCACCAGCCCTGGATTCAGGAAGACCTGAGTTCAAATCCAGCCACATACACATAACACTTACTAGCTATGTGACCCTGGGCAAGTCACTTAACCCCCACTGCCTAACCAAAAAAAACAAAAACAAAAAAACAAAAAAACTAAAAACTACTTCTTTAAAAAAGACTAATAAAATTGACAATTTTTTAGCTAATCTGATTTTTAAAAGAGGGTAGAAAATCAAATCAATAAAAAAAAGCAAATGGGCAGGGCGAAATCACAGCAAAATCAGAAGGAATAACAAGAATCAGAAAAATATTGTACACAATTTGATGCTAACAAAAGTGAGAACACGAAATAAAAGAATGCCTTCAAAAACACCAAATACCCAAACTATCAGAAGGCCACGGAGAGCAATCAGAAATTATGTTCAAAGAGTTATAAAACTGTGTATACTCTTTGACCCATCAACAACACCATTAGATCTGTTTCCCAAGGAGAGCAAGGAAAAAGGAAAAGAACCTATCTATATATGTTCTAAAATATTTATAGCAGCTATCATTGTGGTGGCAAAGAACTGGAAATTGAGGAGATGCCCATCATTTGGGGAATAACTAAACAAACTGTATTATACGATTGTGATGGAATACTAGTGCTGTAAGAAATGATTAGGTGGTTTTTTTTAGAAAAACATTGAAAGACTTGGATGAAATAAAAAGCAAAGTGAGCATAACTAAGAGAAAGCTGTATACAATAACAGCAATATTGTTCAAAGCATAATTGTGAACAACCAAATTATTCTGAGTACTATAAATATTCAAATCAACTATAAAGGACCTATGAAGGAAGATGCTATCTACCTCCAGAGAAAGAACTGATAAACAGAAGTATGCATAGATGGTTTTACGCATATTTATAAATCTGTGTCAAATGGTAGCCTTTTCTCTAGTGTAGGGTGGAGAGGGAGGAAGAGAGACGGTCTGGAACTTAAAGTGTTAACAAAAAAATTGGAAAAAAAAAAGGCCAGTTTGAGATCTTAACCCAGTCTCAGTAAAGAAAATTGATCTATAGCTGCAAAGGAATGAAGGGAAAAAATTCCTGATCTTGATGGATTCACAGGAGAGTTCTATCAATCTTTTAAAGAACAATTAGCACCAGTACTTCACAAATTATTCTCAAGAATTGAGAAAGCACTCTACCAGAAATCTTTTATGAGACAAATACAGTTCTAATACCTACACTAGGAAAAGATAAAACATAGTAGGAAAATTATAGGCCAATATCATTAACGAATGATGACTCAAAAATTTTAAACAAAATCCAAGATATCATTCATTATGATCAACTGGGATTTATACTACGGATGTGAGATGGTTCAGCATTAGGAAAATAATCAACATAATTGATCATATTAAAAACCAAATCATTTAAAACCACATGGTCATTCTCAATAGATGAAGAAAAAGCCTTAAAAGTACAGAACTCTCTTATTCTAAAAACTCTGTTTACAAAGTACAGGCATAAAGGGATCATTTTTAATATCATGAAAAGCATCTATGTAAAACCAAAAGTAAGCACTAAATACAATGGAGATACAACAGAATCTTTCCCAATAAATACTGGAGTGAAGCAAGGATGCCCACTGTGTCCACTATTATTTTATATAGTTCTAGAAATGCTAAGAACAGCAACAGGATAAGAGAAAATAAAGGCATAAAGTTAGGTAAAGAGATAAAACTCTTCTTTTTTGCTGATAACAAGATGGTATACTTGTAAAATCCTAGGGAATAAGCAAGAACACTAATTGAGACAATTAACAGCTACAGCAAACTTGCAGACTACAAAATAAACTCTCAAAAGTCAACCACATTTCTATATAAATAATAAGACCCAGGGGCAGCTAAGTGGCGCAGTGAATAGAGCACCAGCCCTGGATTCAGGAGGACCTGAGTTCAAATGCGGCCTGAGACACATAACACTTACTAGCTGTGTGACTCTGGGCAAGTCACTTAACCCCAAATGCCTTACCCCCCCCCCAAAAAATAATAACAAGCCCAAGAATCAAAAATAGAAAGGTAGACCCCATTCAAATAACTATAAAATGGATAAAATATCCAGAGATTGACCTATACATGTTTTTGGACTTTTTTAACATATCAATCAGTTTATGCTGACTTTTCATTGGGTTAGGGGGTAGGGAAGGAGGAAGAATACTGAAGATGACTATGATCATGTAAGAAATAGGAAACATGAATAAAAACTTATTTTTTTAAAGAAAATAAAAAATAAAGTGCCTTGTGTATTTAAAAAAAAAGTAACTATGTGATATAGATCAAAGAGAAAACTGAGAAAAAGAGTCCTGAGAAACACAACATTTAAGGGTTTCAAAAGAAGATCCAAGAAAATCAGAAATGGAACAGTTAAAAAGGAAGAAAATCAGGAGGGTAACACATTATGGAAGTTACAAAGTAGGAGGTAGACAACAGCTCAGCTAGAGCTTTAGGATTTACAAAGCACCTTCCTCAAAACAATCCTTAGAGATAGCTAGTATAAAGATTATTCCTACTAGAGATAAGGAAATTGAGGTACAGGAAGGTTAAAATTAATTACAAGGTTACCTTAGCTGGTAAATGGCACCAAAAGTACCCGAAGCCCAGAGTTTTTCCAACAACAGCACTCTGGGGCCCTTCTCCTATCATCTACCATTTAAGGAGGGCACTGGGGAAAATTCACCTTAGCATTTCTCACCCTATAAATCTCCAGAGCCTCATTATTCTGCAAGATGAAATCAACTCTACAACTCACACCTCTCAAATCATTTCCTCCCATCCTGGCTGCACAGGATTTCATCATGCTCCTTCACCCCCTCCCCCCATCCTTCTCTCTTTTCAGCTTCTTTTTCTGCGTTGTCATTCCCCACTCAGTTGTGAGCTTCAGGAGAGCAGGGATTATCTTATGACTTTCTTTGTCTCCCTGACTCTTAGTAAATTAAGTAGGTACTTAATAAATGTTTATTGACTGTTACTGATTACTGACAATACCAAAGGTTTCTCCAATAACAATTTACATATATATAACATATTACAGCACTTTAGAATTACAAGGTACTTCAACACACATTATAATTACTCATAATAATAGCTAAGGTTTGCAAATTATATTACTCTCTACCTCATTTGATCCTCACAACAAACCAGTGAGACAGGAAACATTACCATCCCTATTTTACAGATAGAAAATCAGGTACAGAGAGGTTAAGTGACTTGCCCAGGGTTACACAGCTATTAAGTGTCTGAGGCAAGATTCCAGACTTTATCTCCAGCACTCTATCCACTGGGTCCACCTAACTACATATTATAAGAGTCAAACATAAAGCCTGACCAGATCATTCCAACCCACTTTGTTCAATCTTTTTTCTTAAGCCTTAGAAGTACCTTCTCTGAACTGAGTACAGTACTTCTTAATTCAAACCACTCATTTTGGCACTTAACTATATAATATGTTACATAAATGGTTGTATATTTGTTTTATTCTCTCCTAATAAGCTTATGGGTTCCTTATGAAGAGGGACCATGCTTTAATTTTCTTTTTTATTGTGAACTTAATCATCAACAAACATTAACATTTCAATATATGACATACTTCCATGCACAGGGCAATAAAAATCTATTGATAGGAACTGAATTTGCCTCTATTCTAATTCAAAAAAGCCTCAGCAATACAGAAAACAATGCTTTATTTTTTTGCTTGAAAAATAACATCTCACTGTCCAGCCCTATATCCTTACCCTGTTCATTTTTCCTGTGAATTCATGTAATTCAATCATATTTTAGGTGCATTTCACAAAGCAGTGTATCTTATCACCACATACTTATATAGCATACTTACATGCCACTTACTTATACAGCACACATATGAGGCTCTGGTTTCCCAACACATGACAAACCCTAAAAGGGCCTAAACATTTATGAATTGCTAAGAGGCCAAACCAAATACCAGGGGCATCTCAACCCAGAAAATGCTGCTAGTGGGTCCACTAGCCTCTCAGCTATTCTTTTCCAATACCTCACTTTCACCTGCCACTTCACTCCCAATCCCATCTTTCTCCCAAACCTCAAAGTTTAATGTCTTATTAAGTCCATAATGGAATACACAGCCATAGACTCCAAACCGCTCCCCAACTCCATAACCATCTGGTCACTTTCTTGGTCCCAGTCCACGATGACAAAACTAGAAGATTGTGAAAGCTAACAGGCAGTCTCAAAACCTGACACAGCAATCCAAATCACTACAAAAATGCAATTGCAGGCACAGTGGATAGAGCACCGGCCCTGGAGTCAGGAGGACCTGAGCTCAAATCTGGAACTCAGACACTTGATAATTACTAGCTGTGTGACCCTGGGCAAGTCACTTAACCCCACTGCCTAGCCAAAAAAAGAAAACACTGCAATTATGACAAATTCTTAGTACAATATACCTAAAACGGAGACTAATTCAACTATTTCTAAACATCATTCATTCAGATATCAAAGAGTAGAACCTCGAGCATTTCTATGGAACTCTCCATTACCTAGGCTGAGAATTCTCCTCATACATCCTCTCTTTCCCTTCCTTAAAAAGGCTGATGGTCTGTTTAGTTTTCTTCATCAGATTTTCCATGAATACCCTGAAATACTCATTTTCTCCAAGTGTCTCCATTCTCCCCTCGTATCTTGACAAGATTGTGCGAAGATGCTGGTAGGTATCTGGTAGCAGGTCTAATATATAAGGAGGACTATTCTTTAGAGCCAGCTTTGGATTCTGACACAAACGCACCACCTGGAACAAATTGAAAAGGAAAAGTATGTAAAAATCAAGCACAGTTTCAAACTTCTGATTTAATGGTTGATTATGGCTAATTATCTGAAAACCAAGGAGGATATTCCAGAAATGCATTAAATGGTCTATGTTTAAGTTCTTTGTACATCACTAACTGAATAATTAAGAAAATGTTCTTTATATACCAAGCAAACATAAAGAATCAATAAAAATGTGCAACAGAGTCTTCAACAATTCAAAAGCTCTGCAATTCATCAGTGTTAGGTACTCCCTCCACCAACAAGTTTCCTTAGTAGACTAATGCATGAGTTGCTATAGTAAATCTTCTAACACTAACTGGCTGTGTGAACATATGTGGGTCACTTAACCTTTCAGTGCTTGGAAGAAAAAGTGTAGACCTTCATTGGTGGAGTGAGTTTCCTCACTAAGGAGCTCCCTATACCAATGAAATCACAGGTCTAGCTCCTATCTCTATGAATGGAACTTACCTTACCATTTTCCCCTGGTTTTTGTTAGTACTACACAGAAATGCTGATGATTTTTTTCTATTTTTATTTTGCATATAGTTATTTTACTAAAACTTAATCTCATTTTTTAGCTGATTTTCAGGGGTTTTCTAAGGATACCATCATGTCATCTGCAAAAAGGGATAATTTCACCTCCTTGCCAATATTCATATTTATAATTTACTTATCTGACATTATTGCTATAGCTAGCATTTCTAAAACTATGTCAAATAAGCGTGAGTAGAGAAGCCATCTTTTCTTTATCCCAGTTTGCACTGGGAAAGCTAAAAGTGTTTCTCCACTGAAACAATGCTAGCTCATGGACTGTAATAACCTCCTAACTTGCCTTCCTATCTACAGTTCCTCACCCTCCAATCCATCCATCACACCACTACCAGAAGGATCTTCCTAATGCATGTCCTCTTCTCTTCTCCCTTTAAACTACTTCATATGGTGAAATCATCAGCTCCCATGGATTCAATTATCCTCTCTATGCAGATGATTCTCACATCTACTTATCAAATCCAAACCTTTCTGCTGACATCCAATCTCATATCTTCAACTACTCACTAGACATCTTCAATTGTTAGTCCTGTTGACATCTTAAACTCAACATGTCCAAAACTGAACTCATTATCTTTCCCCCAGAACCCTCCCTACAATTCGAACTTCCCTGTTAATACTAAAAGTACCACCATCCTCCCGGTCATCCAGACTCACAACTTATGTGTCATTTTGACTCCTCACTCTCTCTCAACCCCCATCATATCCAATCTGTTGCCAAGGACTACTAATTTATATCTTTATAACACCTCTTGCATATGCCCCCAACATTGCTCTGACTCTGGAATAGGCTCTCACACCTGAACTATGGCAGTAGCCTACTAGTTGGTTTCCCTGACAAAAGGCTCCCCATTCCTTTCCATCCTCAGTTACCATAGTGATCTTTCTAAAGCATGTCTGACCATGTCACCTCCTTACTTAATAAACTCCAGTGGTACCCATTCCTTTTAAAAACAGTAGAGAGCATAGGAATAAACGGAGCCTCTCTTAAAATAATAAGTAGCATCTACCTAATACCTTTAGCAAGTATCATACATAATGGCAACAAGCTAGAAGCATTTCCAATAAGACTGGGGGGGTGAAATAAGGATGTCCATTATCACCACTGTTGCTCAATATGGTCCTGGAAAAGTTAGCTTTAGCAATAAGAGAAGAAAAAGACATTGAAGGTATTAGAATAGGCA